TAACTACATGACACTGTGACAATGAAGAATCACAGAAATTTTATGAGGAGGTTGCAAGTCATTACCGAAAGAATGGAAAGGCTAAGACACAATGCCCTAATTCTTTATACTGTGTAATGGTGTTACTATTGCAATTTCAAATTCAATCTATGACTCCTATCTCATTTTGAAGTGCTAAATGGCCTGGAAACTAAATACATCAGAGAACATGAAAAAGTGACTTCTTTCTACTAGACAATGTTAAAAATGCCTCCACAATGAGATAATAGGAAAAAAGGAGACTGAAAGGAAAGAATACAAAAACTAACTTTCACATAGGATGCTGAGGAGAACCTTAAATAGATTGTTTAATCTGGAAATACTATTATTTTGGCTTGGATATCCTGGACCAATTAAATATACAACATTGATTTCATTGTCCATCTGGCAATCAGAAACCTGTTGAGCCCTTCCCTAACAGAGTACAACACTGGTATTGAATAGGAGCAGTGGGAACACGTGGAGGCAGAGAAAATGCCTTCATTCACTTGTGGGACTTAGTGTCTTTCATGCATGAGAAAACACATTCATACCTACTAAGCTCCTGAAAAAGTCTAAAATTAATGTCTCAGTAATTATTTACCACAGTGTCAGTGACATAAGTTCTCAGTGCTGTACTTGGTGATACATGGTGTATTTCCAAACCTGTTGCTCCTTTTCAATTATGGTTTGACCTATTTTAAAACATCTGGTGCAGAAAGGGGAAAGTAATTTAAACATTATCTGTTTAATTTGCTAACCTTCGTTTGCCCTTTTGGAAACAGCTTGTTCAAAATCCATGGGGATTTAGATATTTAAAATAATCCTTCTGTATCACTTTTCTAAACTGAATTTCACTACATGCAATTTGGACTTTCCTGAAATGAGCAACCACAGGGGTTTGGAAATTCTAGCACAGATTTGTAATGAAATGAAAAAAAGATTGGACACCATCCAGAAACATGTGATGATACTCAAAGTAGAATGACATTTGCTTGGGAAAGCCTCAGAAGCGTTATTCCTTTTAATACCTTTCAACATGAAATTTGTCTTCTATAAGCAGATTACCTTCACAGACAATATAGGGACAGCAATTTATAACACTGCATGAAATCAAACAAAATACAAAATCAGTGATGGTTTCGTTTATAAGTGCCCATTATAACTATATTTTGTTTTGTAAAATCAGATACGTAACTGTGGGACCGAAGCTCGGTTCCTACTCTTGTACACAACCTCAAGGATTAGTTCTTACTAACCCACCATTATTTTTTACATGTTTCAAAATAGGCAAACATTCCAGTGAGAATCAAGATTACAGTATTAGAACAGAGAGACAGAGAGAGAGAGAGAGAGAGTGTGTGTGTGTGTGTGTGTGTGTGTGTGTGTGTGCACGCGTGCTCTGCTTCTTATGTTTCCTATATATCACACTAGGACATTCTCAAAACTTTGGATAAGAATCATTAAATCAGAATGGTTAAACTACACTAAGAAAATTATTTGTATTTTCAGGTAAAAACTTACACACACATACTATAATATTAAAATATTATCTTTGTACCTTGGGAAGGGAGGTAAAACATGTCTTTTAAATTATGATTTTTACTCTGAATATACACAATCTATTGTTTGGAAATACAATAAGACTTATAGACCTTCCAAAAAAAACATCAAAAATAAAAGACAAAACTTCCTTAGATCATTGTGTGCCTTTCTCTGAATCCAGAAAAGTTGAACATCAAATTTGTCTTTTTCAAATTGATTTGATATTTTGAAAAATTTCTTATATTCAATTTCCCCTCATTAACAAAAGGAGAAAAGAGGAAGAAGGATTATAATATTATAATATTCTCTGGCTAGAGCTGGAAATAATATCAAGTCACTCCCATAGATAGCATGCACTGTTTAAAAAGACATAACCAAAGAGTGAAAAATCTAGAAGAGAGTTTGGAACACATTGGCGAAAACTGTTTATGAAACAGTAGTATAGAGAGGAAGGGAATCTGGCTTTGGCCAACAAAATGGGGAGTAAGAGTTTCTATCCTTTATGCCAAAGCCATAATGGGACATGCCTGATAGCATAAAGTTTATGCAGGCTTCTTTGCTGGAAAACTACACCACTCAGCACACTGTGTATGGTACATGTTGTGTTGTGGTGTGTGTGTGCGTGTGTTATGGGGGTACGTAGGTAGCATGCCATGGGAATGGTAATGGATCTATATGTTCTACATCTTTGATCTGTATACTTTAATAGGCCTCATCACAAGACCACATCCTCCCCAATTACAACCCACTTCTGGCCTATTTTACAGACTGCTGTACTGCTCTACGTATGACTTAGTAGTTCTGTTTTAAACATATTTGGAGAGTAATGGACAATATTGTTAACTCTGAATGAACCTTCAGAGCTATATATACTATTCTTGGTCAAATCTTCTACCCACTTAGGCTCTTATTATGATCATTATGATAAAATGGTTCTATTAATTGGACATACAACTGACGAGTGTTTTTGTCTAGCAACAAAAAAGGGATCTTGATTTGGAAGTGGTTAAAAAGTCCATGGAGTTTGAGTGGACTCCTGTGGGGTAGCTGTCCAGAGCTCAGAAGTGGGTTTGGAAAGCTAGCCATGCACAATCTATGGCAAGATACAAGTTTGTGAAAACATTTGCCCTAAATCCTGAAGAGCATCTACAGCCTTCACACTAGAGTGAAAACTCACAGGATCTAAGAGTCTTTGTTTCACAAACTTTGGCTCCTAGCTAGCTATCGGGCAATTATAGAAGTAAATTGAAGAGAAAAAACATATAAAGTATAAACAAACCTAGGACTACTTGGATCTAATCCACTAAGACAATTATCTTATTTCCTATTTTCAAATGACCAAGATCAAAAGGAATTTGAGGTTCTTCAATTCATGAAAACAAGAGGTTTATTTCATAGGGAATGAGCATTCAGTATCTCCAAGCTAATGTTTTAAAATAAATGTAACCTCTATTTTTGAGTTGGAAATATTAGACATTTTTATTGAAAATTATAGCACAGTAATTTTCTAATACTGCACAATAATGTTACCACAAACTGAACACCTTACACCAAACTACATTTATTAACTCATAGTTTCCATGAGCCAAGATTCTAGAAAAGACTTCACTAGGTCCTCTGCTAAGAATCTCATGAGGTACAGTTAGAGTAGTGATTAAGGATGGGATCTCATTTAAAGGCTTGACTGGAGAAATATCCATTTCCAACCAAATGTGATTGGTGGAAAATTTAATTCCTTGTAGTTACAAAGACTACAGATTTAATAATTACTGGTTATCAGCCAGTATCCACTCTCAGCTTTTCATTGTAGGCTGGAGGCCAAGGCCACATACATTGTCTTGCCACATGGACCTCCTAAATTTTCTGCATCAGCAAGAGAAATGTAGTTCACATTCCAGCTTAGAGCAGGGAAATCACATAGTAAAGGCCTACTCTACTGGCTATTCTGCTGCCTATAAGCAAATCACAAGTCACACCTCTAAACAAAGGAGAGGAAACTGAATAACTATGACCATGAGGAGGGGAGAGTATGGACCAATGATGTTTATCACAAACAGGAAACCAGAAAACACAATTCTTGTTATTTCTTCCAATATTTTCATCAAAGGTAAAATATCACCAAAACATGCATTTAAAATGACATAAATCTTTCAGATATTAGTAATGTCACTAGATAAACTTTTTTTTTTGCTATTTTTATTTCACTTGGTTAGGCAGACTGAAATTTCTTCTGTAAGATTCTGAAATTTATGCTACGAAATAATTTTTACATCATTCTATGTTTTGAAAAACTGCTATTAATTTGTTCATTATCAATCAGAATATTTATTGAGTAAAATTTATTTGTCATTTTCTTCAGGAAAGTTACTCTGGTTGAGGAAATTATTACTACTCATGGCACCCCTATTCAATTTTCATTGGATCTTTAAACCTTTATCGGTTATACTTATATTAAATAGCTCTTTATTGTTATTGCCAGGAAGCAAAGTTAGAGATGCTGTAATAGAGAATGTCTCCCTTTTAAGCATGCTCAGTGTTTCAAAGTTATTAGTGTCTGTGACTGTCTGATAAACACATCACCTTGAATCTACCTTACCTGTCCTGTTCTCTTTGCCTTGTGTTTGCCTTTTGGTTCCTTCTCTCTCTTTCCATTTGCTATTCTATTGATCACTTTCAGAGCCCATTTTGCCTGTAGCTTCTGGTACTGTTCTGTGGTAGAAATTTTCTCCTTTTTACACTACGTATATAGATGTTCACTTCTGTGGAATCAATATTAACTGCTTGATAGCTTGTCCTTTAGAAGCACTGAAACTAAGATATCTCCTGTGAGATTTGGTCAATTTTTGCTTAACTTAAATGAGTATAGTCTGTCCACATTACAGCATCTACTATGTCATTATTTGTAGACCTTAAATAAATATTTCTCAGAGGACTGAAGAAATTTAAGAATATAGTCTGCATTGTTCAAGTAAGTCTCTCTCAAGGTTGATACACTTAAGATTTTTTTAGTAGAGCAGAAAGTAATTTTAATTAAGACTTTCTTAAGCGTACAATGCATGATAAATCATTGCTTCATGGATAAAAATAAATTATAAACTAAAGCATTTATGCAGATGTTTTCTCCATTGGTAATATCATAACCACAGATTACTTCAAGATGAATTACAAATAAAATTAAGAAATTCACAAAACTTATCAATAAATACAATTATTGTTCATATTTACAAAAACTGGGAACATCTTGAGTGAATTTTCTATCTTTCAAACTTTATAATCATGTTTAGCTACTTACCTACTTCCAGAGTCTGAAGGAGAACCACTTGTCACTGTATCCACTTGGAGCAAATAAGTCACCCAGTTGACAATATTGCATGCTTTTATAGCTTTAAGAATTTGGATCATGTAAGATAAGGTAGAGATCAGAGACTGATACTCACCTGATACAGGTGCCATTGTTATGGCACAGATGATTACACCAAGGGATGTAGCAGTTCCCAATGTTCTTCCAATGTCGTGCTTCACTAATGATGAAGATTTCTTTGTTGTTTACTCGAAGTTCTCGAATGCAACCCTTGAATCCATAAAAATGGCCCACACTCTGAGGGACCTCAACATTTTCTGGTATATTACCAAGGAACATAGATTCAAAATATCCCTGTAGGAAAAAAAGATTTAAAAAAAATCTTACCATGAAGTGCTACTAGGTTGTACAAAAGATCTACCATGTTGGTTCTACAATACATTTTTTTTTCTTTTATGAGAGACAACACTGAGGGAGGTAGGATGTTAGTTCTATAAAATGTTTTTAGCACCTTTTTTGGTTTGTTTAAAACAAATTGCAAATATTATTGTGTTTTGTTACCTAGGGTAGGCTGTAGTAAATAACCCCATTTTTACTTTTTTTCTATCTTATAATATCTAATATAAGTCAGTACAAAAATTAGGCACTCAACAAAACTTGCTTACTTTGGGATTTTTGAAAGCAAGTGTTTACATTTTGATGTGAAAATAGCCAGTTATTGTTAGTGACTGAATTTTATTTCTCATAAATTCTTACATACTGAAGTTCTAACACTCTGTATCTTGGAATTATACCTTTGAAAATATGACCAATGAGGCATAATTAGTTAATTCAGAAGAGGTCAACTTTTGAGTAAGGTAGACATCTAATTCAATACAACTGGTTTCCCTATACAAGAGAGAAAGTGGGACACAGACTTTCTCAGAGAAAGAACGTCAAGTGAATATGCAGGCTGAGATTGTGGCGATGCTTCTTCAATCCAAAGATGCCAAAAGTTGTCAGTAAAATGCTACAAACTAGATAAGTGACACTAAAAAGATTCTCATAGCTATAGGGAGGAAGCAACCCTGCTTAACACCTTGGACTTACACAGATCTTGGACTTATGCAGTCCAGAACTACAAGGATTGTAAGTTATTTCAGTTATTTAAGCCAGCCAGCTTGTAACACTTTGTTACAGCAATCCTTGTAAGTAAATACAATGAGATGCTATATGTCAAATATTCTAAAACACAAGCAACACATATTGCTCTTACATAGGCTGCTTGGTGCCTAGGTGACTCTTTAAAAGCCCATTAAACACAGAGGCTGAAGCAAAGAAACAGAGATTACATCCACACCACCCACTTGGGTGGCAGGAACAAGAGTACTTGGGCCATCATTTGATGGCTTCCATTTGCATTGGCAAGACCTTGTATCTAAAGTGGAGGTGGCACTCAATACTGTGTACTCCAATATGAGAGATATTGAATACACTTACATAGGAGAATGATGGACTTGGAACTGTTGTTGAGGGACTAAATTATTGTTACAATATATGGGAAAACAGTGTGGGGAAGGCATGGGGTGGAAGAGGAAATCCCTGAGCCTTAGGAAATATATCATAAAAAAAGAAAAAATAAGAGGTATGGGATGCAAGTATCCCACATGAGTGGTTCAATCCCCGGGGCACACACCCAGCCTCCCAGTTTGTGAAAACAGTCAAACTATCTGAAAAGTTACCAGCACATGAAATCTAAATTGTTCCTTGTAAGGCTTAAGCATCATTTTGGAAACTAGCATGCTTTCTCCCAACAACTTCAACATACTTTTTCCCCTCCTGCTTTGAAAAAGTTTTCTGTTTTGTCAGTGTAGCTCCTAATGAAACTGAAATTTACTGACTATACTATATAAAAATTCTAGAACCCTCTCCTATGTGAAGATATCTACCCAAATGAAAAACAAGGGTGAACCCATGTGGAAAGTACCAGTAAGTTCACATTCAATGCTCATTGCTGAGTTCTTTCTCATTGATCAGAGTGGTGATAAAATCTCTTATGAATCAAACACTTGCTTGATCTTTCCTTGTGAACACTTAATATTTATAACTGAGTTCTCATCTCAATGAAAGTAACATGCTGATGCTCTTCAGGGCTGTTTGGTCTATGATAGGTAGGGGCAGATGTATTTCTGTGTGGAATATTTTTATGGTCCATTCCCAGAATATGCCATCAGTTGACTTCTGAAAAAACATACTTTTAAACTGAGCATATTTATTCTTAGGAATAGCAAAGCATCCCCTTGGCCCCAAACATGTCAAACTAACTCTGTATTTTAGCTCTTCATCCCTTATATCCTCAGTTTTTGCTCCTATGCTCATTTAATAAATTTAGTAAATTTCTTGAGTGCCTTTTATCTTAGTTACAGAGGATAAAAGTATTTGGTTATAGAAGGGTAGAAAAGTGAAAAGATTCGAAGTTCGGCAACATAACTGTCACACAGTACATTTTATCTAGTAGTAAAAATGCTGGATTTAATAGATGCCTTTGCCTCCTGCCTCCAATTTTCTACTAACGTGGTTGCTGAAAGGCAGTTTGTGATGGTTGATGCATTTTGGATGGTTGTAGACATGTAGGAGGCCTGGACTAAGATCCTGGTTTTGGTACTGACCATGTCAGTCCTGGTTGTTGGAGGCACTTAAGAAGGTGAATCATTGAATATGGGAGCTCTCTGTCCTTTCTGTCCTTTACTCTTTCTCTGCCTCAAGTATGTTAAAATAACTTAAGAAATTAAAAAGCAAAATAGAGCCTTATCATAGGAGAATGTCTGCTTGTTTTCACATCTGTCCATATGCCAAGTCATTTTGTAATGACTGCTCTAACAAACATTGGCAAGCTTTTATTTTATCAGCTCAGATAAATGACTCCAGCTAATACAATATGGGATCCCATATGAATTTTTAGACTAAAGTCATCTGAACATGACCTTTTTCTCTTTAAGATCTCTGACATCATTGTGCATTGATCACACACCTGGAAAAGCAAACTGCTCAGTGCTTTGACAAGCATGCTGCTTTAGCACAAAACTGATAGAGGATTGAAAAATGCTCTCCTCTCTGTCAGCTGGAGGCAGATATAAGGGGAAGTCCATGGTACTATCTATGATTTATTAGACCATTAAAAAACATCCAAACAGTGGAAGTAGATGGCTCTTGTATTTCTTCTAATCCAATGCCCTAGTTTAGCTGGAGCCCTGAAATGTGTAAAAAATCAGCTGCCATTGACTGCACATAGATAACCATTAAAATGGCTGACTTCTTCTATCCCCAGACTCTCAATTATCTAAGAGCTGCCTTTTGTGTGTATAATCATTCCTAAGGAGACAGGTCTTTAAAATAAGTCTTTTCTAATAACTCTTTGTGAATCAGACTATGGAGAATAGAGTCTGACATCAAGATATGATCTTACAAGATAAAAGCACAGAGAACAGACATGGACAATCAAGGAGGAATCATCACGATAATAGAAAAATATGAATGGTGACTGAGGCAAAAGACTCCACATCTGACAAGAGTGAAATGAACATGCTTTTGCCTCTCAGAGCTTCAGAGTGAAGGAAGAATAATGCTGTTCTTTTACATATGTGTGAATAAAATAAGAAGGGATGCAAAAGAAAATCAAATTTCTAAAAAAAGAGGAGGAGAAAAAGCCACTCTATTTCCTTCTTGTTCTGTTTTAAATTTAGAGTTCTGCACACATTTCTGCATTTATGTGTATTTCCTTTTCTTACATTATTTTGCATGGTATCATTTTATAGGTATAGGGATTCCATTTTCCACCTCTCTTCCCTCGCTTCCCATACCCCTTTTGCCTATGTTTTCCTCATATTGTTAGAATAGCACTGTATAGTGCAGCAGCAGCTGCAAGTCCAACATGCTGCTATTTAAGTGTATCATGGCATTAAAGGTATAGGCAACGGTAGTCTAGTATGCTATTGTCAAGGTGTGTTTAACAGTTTCATTGGAGTCCTCCTTTTATTCAGAAGTAGAAAATCACACTGCAGTGTATCTTCACTTCCCTGTGTGCTAGTCTCTATTCTACAGTGCATCTATGAGAATATGTGTATATACATGTTTACTTACATATCTATTTGTTCTATAATGATATTTTGATTCAATGGTTAGCTTTATTTTATAGCTTCATTCTATATGAAGTTAAATATCTTCTTTAGCAATACAATACAGGCATGTAGCTGCAGATATATTTTTTAGTTAAGATTAATTATCAGGCCATGCTTATCTTTACCTAAGAATATGATCACTTATAATTAAAATGAGCTGCTTTATTTAATAGTCATTTCCAAATTTTTTGCTTTTAACACTGTCTGGATTGCATGCAAATAAATGCACAACCAAAATATTTGTGTCTTGGAATATAGCTGGATAAATGAAGTTGAACAAAGTGTTCTAGAAGAAAGATTTACTTAAATAACCATTTTCATGTAAATAAGGCTTAAGCTTTTAAAAACTGTTTAGAGGCATTAAGTGAGACGGGATGGAGAAGCAGAATCAGTATTTATCTAAATCTCTATCCCTCTGCAGTTAAGAGACTTCAATCTTTCCCAGCTTTTCCTTATATATGATACTCTACACACAATTGTTGTGTTAATTCCTTTGCATTTTAGGGTAGTACTTCAACCCTAAGATTTGGATTTTCTAAAGAGTTCATAGCTGTATTTTGAAAATATTTTGAAATGGTCTGTTTTGTGAAGCTCAATCCTGCTTTCCCTCATCTTATGCTTGTATTTTAAGCCTCTTTCTTTTTTGCTGCTTTAGAACATGGCTAATTTGCCAGATTAAGCATATTAGAGGTCCTGACTAGATACTATCCAGGAAGAGTACCACAGTAGCAGTCTAGCATATTTCAAAATCACACATATATGATCTAGAGCTCAGGGATATTAATATTTATATGAAAATTATTGAATGATATTAACTTGAAGTAGTATACATTAAAAAAAGGTTATATTGAAACATTTGCTAAGTATCACTGATGGCCTAATTGGTCCCATATTTTGTATGGAAAACAATATTTGATTTGTTTGCAAAGCAGAGTTACTGAGCAAGAAGGTAAAACAGAAAAAGAGATTTTCCTTCTGAAGATTCATTCTCCAGGTGGTTTTAATGGCTAGGGCTGAGCCAGACTGAAGCAGGACATGGAACTCCATCTGTGTCTCCCACGTGGGATGCAGGGGACCAAGCTCTTGGGTCATCTGCTGCTTCCCCAGGCATGATAGCAGGGAGAGGGACCAGAAGTACAGTAGACAGAAAGCAAACTGGCACTCTGACAGGAGATGCCCACATTATTGGCATAAACC